GCTCCCGTATCCATTATCCCTTCAAATTCTTTTCCATTAATTAACAATTTTATTGTAGGTCTCTCATTTAGGGGTATAGCCAGATAGGCTGAATCACTTCCAGAAGATCCCATAGCCCTTTTTTGTAAAGTGTAGGTTTCTCCATCCCCGAGGGAGGGCAGCAACACCAGTTGTGCAATTCTATCTCCCTGCTTTATAGAAAATACACCCCGAGGGCTAGAACAGAGAACTTGAATCTCCTCTTTATGATACGGGTCAACAATTCCAGGATATATAATGAGTCCCTGTAAAGTTAAGGAGCCACGGCCCAGAATAAGCCCAATGGTGGCAGGGGGCAAAGGTCCAGGGGAATGGACTGGGACCGGTTGAACATTCATTTGGGGCATGAGTAAGAAGTCGGAGGCGGCACGCAAGTCCATTCCGGGGGTTCCTCGGAAACCTCTACTTCCTCTTGATTGCTTTTCTGAAATTGGTTCCCATATTTCTGAGGGCCCTGGGACCATGGGCCCCGTGACCCGTTTTTTGATTGGGGTACCTTGGGTTCTTCAATAGGGGGCAGAAGCCTCCCTTTTACATCCCGGACTGACCTGCATTCGCTAGCCCTATGATAACCTTTACCACAACGATGGCAAAGCTTCGATTCTCTTGTTCTTTCAGGGGCTTGACAATCTTTCTTAAGGTGCCCCATTCTCCCACAATTAAAACAAGCTTTTCGACTAGATAAATCTCTACGCCTGTGCGTTTGTAAAATGGCGGCAGCTAGTCCTGCATTGGTTAGGGGTCCCCCCAGCTCCCTGCACACTCTGAGCCAATCTTGTAAACCTTTGCTTTTGCGAGGGGCGATAGCCGCTCGACATTCCTGGGTTGCTTGTTCATAGACAAGTTGCTCAATCAGGGGCATAGCTTGTTCTGAATCACCAAAGATGCGACTGGCGGCCTCTGTCATTCTGGCCACAAAGTCTGAAAATGGCTCTTGGGGTCCTTGGACAATCTTTGTAAGGTGTCCACTGGACTCTACCCTTTTTGTGAGGGCCTTCCATGCTTTAATAGCGGCGGCCGACACCTGACCATAGACGCCCCAGATGTAGTTGGTTTGATTAAGGGCATGTTGACCCTGACCTGTCAGCATTTCAAATGTCCACTGCCTCTGATTCTCATCTTCAGCCGTGGCA